AGGACAGTATACTGAGTATTCAAGACAGGAAAGCTATTTTGGAACAGCTGGCAGGGAGATATTTCGAAGTTATTATTAGGTTAATAACTTTTTTACAGTTATGATTTTAAACTTATGACATAGACAATAAAATCTCATTGCACAATGTCTTAATTAGCACAAGTTTGAGCTGGATAGTTATGAATATTAGAGATAAGAATGGTATCAGTTTATAGTGTACATTCAGGTGCTCTAGGTGAATAAAAGGACTGGTTAATTACTTTTCTGTCTTGGTTTAACTGAACAGGTAAAAGAAGAAATATCAGTAATAAGACTGAGCCCAAAAATGTAGTTCAGTTGACATAAATGTAGTTGAGATATTTTATGCTATTTGCATTAGTAAAATACTGTAAAAGAAGCAATGAACATTCCCTAGCATGAGTGATACTGTTTGAGTGTTCACATCAGCTGAATATCCCAGAAGCATGTTTACCTGATTCTCAGAGGAAAAGAAAAAAAAAAAAAATTATAATTTTCTAAAGGGATTACAAAACTGTACTGAACAAATCCCAACTGTTCTGGTACTTTCTGATTTTGGTCATGATCAGGGAAAACTAGAGTTGTGTTGTACTGTCTCCAGCTTCTGCACTTCTTAGTTCTATTCAAAAGCAATTAAAAATAAAAATAAGGAGTTTGTTTTAAAAAAAAAAAACACCACACAAAAAAACTACAAACTAAAAAACTCCAATCAAAACACAACAAAACCAACCAACCAAACTCCAAAAAGCTACAAACCAACCACTGCCTTGGTCAGAGTGAGAAGCATTGAATCTTATATTATATCCTGCTCTACCATGGGTGAAGTATATTCACTAATGGTTGAAAGAGGAAACAGTCCTAGTATGTATGCACTAGTCTAGCTCATTGGATTGTGGGAAGGGCAGAGGTGAAGAAGTAAGGCACAGCCTGTTCTTTTCTGACTGATGTTTCAATATGAGAACAGCTGCATTACTGTGCTTAAATACAAACTTCCAAAATTACTACAGTGAGTCAGAAGGTGAAATGAAAATAATGAAGGTGGGTATGAAGTCAACAACTGTTTTATTGTTCAAAAATGTCGACTGTACTTGCAACCATCCTAATCTAAATACTTCTGGAAACTTATTTTGAAACTTGTGCCATCATACATTAAAAAAGAATAGTATTAAATCTATTTATACGTTGGTTCAGAGAACTTTAATAATGTATAATATTTGAATTAAGGTAGGCACTTAGCTTAGAGAGGGACTGCAATTAAAGTCTGTCAGAATAAAGCTGTGTTGTAATAACAGATCTTTTATAGTAACTGAAAATGTAATTTTAATGGAAGTATTAAGATCTGTTAGAAATGAAGCATTATAGAAGCAGAAAGTCCTTTTTGTAATTATTTTGCCTTTTGTGTAAGTTACTTCTTCTAAATGTAATGTGAATTTATTTCCAGATTTCCATTCACCCCCAGAAGAAAATGAAGACCCTTACAATCTTGATGATGCTCCAGACAATTTGGAATATGTTATCAAGATGAAAGGTGGCATTCCCTTTATTTATGATAACAAAGAAATGATGGAACTCAATGAGCCTCGGAGTCTGCCATATCCTGACCTGGAGACCTATACCCTTGACCTAAGCCACGTTCTTGCTCTAATTGCAGATGGTCCAACGTATGTTTCTCTCTCTTATTTTCTCTGCTCCTTCAGGCTGCTGGTTACCTTTAGTTTAACCCTTTTCACTTTTGTGATATCTACTTCCTCAACATAATCATTCTACCGTAATGTTTTGTTTTGCCCTTCTCAAGCAGTAATGTATCTTGGAGAGACTTAAAAGGGGGGGGGGGGGGGGGGGGGTGGAAACCAACCCACATACGTCTATATTTCATTTCTTCAGTTTCTTTGCATGAACCATGGCAAAATGAGAAGCAGTTAACAGAAAAGCAAGAAATTGGCCACATGTTCCCATTCAAGTCAAATCTGACCCAAACTTCTTGAGGCATGGGAACTGAAACTTGAACCTCACCTTTTTTATTTTGTTTTGGTCTATGCTGAATTTGAGGCTTTTGAACAGTTGTCTGGAATTCCTTCATGTCTGTTCTACTCTTGCTGCATGAAGAGAAACCCTGCATCTGTAGAGGATACAGAACAGCTCAGCAACATTACATATTCAGCCTGATTTGTTCCAGATGTGAATTAACTGCTCACGTGCTGCAAATTGATCCATGTATGCACAATCAAAATAGGTCTGAAATCTCCCAGAACCATCAAAAACTCCTGGGAAATCTCTCAAAACCAGAAATATAAAAACTCTAGTACAGTCACAAAGCAATGTCCTTGCCCAGTGCATAATAAAAACGTGCATCCAGTTTTTAAGTTTACTTCCCAGCTGAGGACTGGAAATACCAAGGTTTCTCATGGCTTCACACTGGGAAAGGAAAGGAATCCACCATAGGATGGAACAAAGCAGGAACCTGGACTGTTCTTCTGAACGATTTGCCCTGCCTGCCAGCACTGCATTCCTAGTCCTTCTGCCTTTGAGAGATCATCACTTAACAATGTGACAAGTTAGTCACACCTGATGCATTCTTTCCCCTTTGAGTCTGTGTCTGACAGCTGCAGCATAATCTGTCTGCCTTGCGCATTGATAGTGGCAAAGCAGATGGGCTGAACAGAACTGTCCTATTCCCTAAGTACTTTTTCATGAGCAAAAGCCTGTGCTTTCCCCAGCATTACCAGCACTCCTGCTCCAAATCAAAGCTAGCTTGAGTATGCTTGTTTACAGTATGCAATGGGTAAATGCAAGTTTCAGTGTGTTATATCCCAAGAGACAGATACTGAGAAGATTAAAGGACAAGGAGAAACTTGAAAGAAAAGTCATACTGAAGACCCTTCTTTTTGCAGCTTTTGCTAACAGTCTTTATCAGGAAGCCATAAGAAGGGTCTTAGTAGGACATGTTAGAACACTTGGCACCTCTGCAAATGTAGGAGCAATCATCCTCTCCTCTCACTTCTTCAGATTAAGCTTTTGCAGGCTGATCCACACTCCCTGATAAATGCACACAGACCAAACGGAAAAAGTCTTTTCAGTAATGTTGTTGCATAAACTCTTCATACGGTATTGTTTCCCTGTTTGCAGCAAGTGCTTTCCTGTCATTTATGTCTATCGCACGTGGGGCTGCTTGAAGATCAAGAACCCATTGTACTTCCGTCTTTGTTGTTCTTAAACTGGTGAAATCTCACTCCTACTCCTCAGTCTTCTGGTCTCTTGAATAATAGTATAACCCAACAAAGACTTCCTGCAGCAGGCAAATGGGTCTTGATCAGTATCAGATACAGTGAGACTGTGTTTGAATCGGCCTTTCAAACCCATAATGGGATTTGCGTCCCACTGAGGAGAGATTGTCAACAATAAAGCAGAAAAAAGAAGGCTATTACATTAATAGTGCTACAAAAATATTGTAGATTCTCTAAGAATTGACAGATGGTGAAGAGAAAAACCACGTCATTGGTTAAAAATAGAATGAGAAGCATAACAGAAGATGAAGACAGAGGAGTAGGCAAGCAGGAAGAAAAAAAGCATGATTTTTCTAAGAAGAGCACAAGAAATTATTTTGGAAAAAAAGTATTTCTACACAATATATGTGGTTTTAAGGCATAAAAATGAAAGTATATTGGATCATATCTTGGCTTCTTATATTCACAATGAAAAAGCAATTAAACTTTGGGAATTTTTTTTTTTTTTTTAAATTATTTCCAGAGTGAGTAAGTCTGGATTACAGGTTGTTTCTGTTATATATGAAGCGATCTGCTCTATTGGAGGTACAGTTTGAGAGTAGTAGCAATTGACATCACATTTTAGTATAGGTTTTATACTTTCTCTGGTCATCATTACCAAAAGAACTGCAGTTTTGCACAGATACAGTGATAACAATACTTGGATGACTTATAGAATCATAGAATTGTTTAGGTTGGAAAAAACCTTTAAGATCATCCAGTCCAACCATTAACCTACGCTACCAAGTCCACACTAACCAATCAAGGGTAGACTAGACTAAACCATGTCCCAGAGTGCCACATCTACCCGTTTTTTGAACACTTCCAGGGATGGTGACTCCACCACCTCTCTGGGCAGCCTGTTCCAATGCTTGACTACCCTTTCCGTGAAGAAATTTTTCCTAATATCCAACCTAAACCTCCCCTGGCGCAGCTTGAGCCCATTTCCTCTCGTCCTAAAGGACTTAAAGGACATAACACGGTTATGTAGAGTTCTGTTTGAGGCTTCACTAATAACTTTGGTCTGAAATCATATTGGATATTGACTTACATATTTGTTAACCAGTAGGATAAGAACAATGGATTTGTCTTAGTCTTCATAAAAAAACCACATTTGTTTTTACTGTGAAAACTTTCAAGTTCTTTCTGAACTTTAAATACAAACAGTTTAAAGTTAATTTTTGTGTTTTCTTTTACAGAAAAACATATTGTCATCGGAGGCTTAACTTTTTAGAATCTAAATTTAGTTTACATGAGATGTTAAATGAAATGTCGGAATTTAAAGAACTAAAGAGTAATCCCCATCGAGACTTTTATAATGTGAGAAAGGTAAGTGTGAAAAGGATTAAAGGCATGACATTGTTTTTAGTAGGAGTTCCAGCAATTTTGCTTTTCTTGTGTGAGGTGTAGATGATATCCATGAAGTGGTGTGTGCATACCACTCAATTGAATTACGTTATTTTAAGAATATTAAATTTTTTCTACATGGGAACACTCCAGGAAAATTAACTTGAATGTAAGTGGGTTAAATGGATTATGCTAAACTCATCTGTTTACTTATTCAGAATCAAAGGGGCTTAATTGTATGTAGATTGCTTTAAAGGAGTGAAACAGTTAATCAGATGAAGCTCACTTGGATTATGAATAAGAAAAACCACATGGAGGTTTAATTCATTTTAATTAATTCATTCAAAGACAGTCTAGTGCATTTTCCTGCTTTCATGTAGGTAAGTCATACTAGACTGTAGCAGGAACAGCTGTATAGATTTGGGATAAAAATTTCACTTCATATTGAAAATAGGTGTTTAAATACATGTCAAAAGAAAAAAGACCTCCTACAGAAACTGAACTGAGGGTTCATGCTGCCATCAGTATGTGGTAAAAAATGTCTGTGAAGTATTAAGTAAAAAGACTGTTATTTGAGTTATATTCTTAGCTGCCTCTGGGATACACAGGGATGTAATTAGGAGACAGGTAGGAGAATCAAGGAGCTGATTTCATTTCCTGACATATTCACACCCAAGGGAGCTGCATTCTCTTCAAAGCATGGAAGCAACAGTGTTACTGCTTTGTTTGCTTCCCTTTCCTGAAGTTAAGAGGAAGTTACTGGAGAAAGAATGCTTCAGTTCAATAGGTGAGATTTCACAAAGCAGTAATTGTTGCTGGTGCTTTGGACTTCAGCTGCATTTTGCATTGTTTCTATGTGCAACTGGAAGAGTTATTCCTTATAACTTCAGCGTTCAGGTCAAAACTTTAATCCTTCTTGTTATGTTTTCATTAGCACTAGTACATCAAAAAGACCTTTTAGCTTTTCCCTATAGCATCCAGCATGCTGGCTACTGAATGTTTGCTACTGTTGTGGTAATAAACTGTCAAATACAAAATCTGCTAAACAAAAGTGTTTGATGAATGTACCCCTGTCTATCACAAGGCTAGAAGCAGATAGGTTGTTAGGTGAATGCTAATGAATTTCACACTTTTATCTGTTAAGTTTACGGATGGGAGGATCTGTTAGCTAATTCACTCAAGCAGGACTCAAGTGGCAGAGACGACTCCTAACTTGACAGTTTTCTTGCATAACCCTGGACAAGATACTTACTCCATACCGCATGCAGATAAAACACTTCCCTAGCTGACAGAGACGTCAATAATAAAACACGTGGTGACTGAGAGGTGCAAAGGACAGAGGTGTCAGTTGGGTAACTGCCTAGATGATCAATTTGATTACTGAGAAGCTGTAATTAACAGGATTGTACTTGCTAAGTTCAGCTGTTGTTTTAAAAGCAAATGTTCAATGTCTGGGTCTATCTTAATTATTTCCTAATTATCTACTATTAAATAAGCCAATCTACAAATGGATTAATGTTGTTCAAAAGCACAAAATGTGCATCACTTCCCCTCTGGCAATACCCAAATTCAAGAGGGCAGGAACAAGTTTGCTCTTCTCTGGCAGAGATCATTCCCACCGCTAGTTATTGCTTCAAAAATTCTTGTTGCACAGAGTCAGTCTTGCTTAAAGTAGTATTTTTATGAAGCAAGCTTACAAGTAGTATTTTTAGGAAGCACTTTTTATGGAAAGTAAACTGCATTGTAGACAGAGTTCCTGTAAGCCCCCAAATAATCTTGTTTTCCCTATGCCTTGCTAGCCCATGTAATGTCTGGATCTCTAACCCCCCCAAAGTGCTTCCTCCCTAATAACAGCATCACCAGTGAAACTTAGCATATGAAACAGACACTTCTAGGGCCTATATTTTCAGGATGTCTCTCTGCGTTAGTCAATCCTAAACAGTGCGTACTCCTCATAAGGAAAGCAAGAAATAAGATTCACCTCCCAAAAGAGCTGTTAGTGAAGTTATCTATTACATCCCTCAGATGCTAGTGTGGAGATCCTGGTACAATCTGTTTGCTTATATAAAAGAGCCAAAGTAACTGATGGAAAATGCCAAAATTAAACCAGTTATGAATGTAGTGGCAAGGTCAATCAGTGAACATGTATTACTGTATTTAGAAAGGTACAGTAGAAAACTGGTCAGCATTATTTGCTGGCATGACAATCAAAGGTTACTGTGGTTTTTTCCTCTTCTCCCTGCCTCCTTTCCCCCTTTTTTTCCTGGTTTAATAGGAGTTCTCCTCTGGTGAGCTCCTCTATTTAATAAATCCCAAGATAAGGCTCCTATTAAATAAGGGCGATGTATGTGTATATCTTACATATTGGACTTAACCAGAAGGCAACCAAAGATATGTTTTGCACTGATGAAGCTGGAACTGGAAAATTGTCCTTAATAACCAGACAAATCCTTCTCTAGACAGACAAGAATCCACAGGTGGTAAGACAGTGTGGTTGGCTCCACTTGGCTCCCCACAGGAGGTGGACAACTGTCTGTGTAGGAGAACGCTAACTTTAGAGAAGACTCTTGAGTCTGCCATCAGCAGGGCTCTCCCACGTTCTCCAGCTGATGCATAGCAAGTGCAGTCAACACAGATTCTCTGCATAACTCCTGGGTTGCCTGCATTAAGGATGAAATTAAGTAATAAGAGTTTAGCTCTACAGCGCACAAACTCAGAACTGAGTTTTAGCCTTTGTGTACTAGGGTGTCTTGACTTCCAAAGCAAGTATGTGTGGTTTTTTGAGCAGGGCTTCCAATAGACCACTGTGCCCAACAGCCTCAGATAACTTGGAGTTGATAGCTCAGTTTTTTAGCTGAAATACACCTTCAAAATAAAGGACCTATACGCAAATATTATGTTACTTTTATTAAAATGTTGCTAATTGCAGGAGCCATTTACTGTGCTTTCTTGGTCTTGGAGCTGTTCTTGTTATTAGCAACTTTGGTTGGTCTCTATTGTTCTTTCTGGGGGGGAGGTTGTTGCCTTTTGTTTTTTAAAAAAAAAAGGTGAAGCCAAGATACTTGTTTGCATAACATGTATTTGCTACCTTTATGACGTATATCTACATACTGCATTGGCAGGTGTCCTTCACTGCAAATAGCTTTGATACAGTTTTCTAAAGATGAAAAAATGACGGCCTAAGCCTCCTTCCATATTCTTTCTCTCTTTAGCCATTATTTCAGTGTGTAAGCAAACCAAACCTGAGGATATGTCATAGCAGTGACTTTTACACATCATATTCTTCTGCCTAGAGACTCACTAGCTCAGATGCCTAGTCTTGTGTGGCCTGGGTAACTGTGCATGGAAGAATGCAGTTTCTAGAGTGGCTTATACAGCCCTGCTGAATTCTGTGTTGCAATAGCTGGTTGCTGCTGTGACAGACCATTTGGTCTAGATTGTTGCAACTGATTTTTTTTTTCTTTTTAAAGTATCGGTTAGACAAAAAAGAAGTAAATTCTAGCTTTTTTTGGTGACTGTAGGGTTGAAATACCACTTGTTACTACTAAGAAAGGAAGTTAGAGTGGGTTTATATACTTCTAAATTCTATAGATCTTACAAAATACTGAATGAAATTAACAGGTGTCTGCTTTTTGTATGATATGTATGTATATGTATGATAAAAAGCCTTATGAGTGAATAGTGAATCTGTACCTTAACTTCCCTGAACTTAGAGTCATTCTGAGGTTGCTTCTTTCTTGTTCTTTCTTCTTCGCCCCCCTTCACCCCCTTTTTTCCTTTTTTTTTTTCTTCCCCTCTACCCCCCCCAGTAGCTACTTACTGACTATGGTGATAAAATTCAGTTTCATCATATAAACCAAAAGTGATAGTGAATGGAAAGACTTATGGGTTACCGTTGGACTCAAAGGCCAGGAATAAAACCTCTGTCAGCATTACATGTAATGCTGCCTTACCACTGTTAACTGGCAGAAAAGCTGTATTTTGTGCTTTCAAAGCACTGTGCATACTACTTGTCCCCTCCTATCTTGCAGAGATGCTGAGGTAAATTCTTGTGTCTACCCTCAATCTTGCAAGTGAGCACAAAATGATCAGGTGGAAAGCTGTCCATCATTATAATGCAAGAATTCTGGAGATACCATAAAGACAGCTTTTCCTCTATCCTTTCTTTTAGTAGTTAAAAGAACAGAAGAAGAAATTTGTTTCTCTTCACAGTAGTGTCTTTCTGTATTTGTGTGAATACAAACATTGTAGGGCTTGATTCTGTGCATTTTGCAATGAGCACAGCCAAACGAGCTGGAGACATAGGGATTCGCATCTCCTGTCTCCTGGTTTCTGGGTTGCTCTGGATGGCGTAAGTATGAATTTGAGGGGCTCTGCCCAGCTTTAGGGACTATTTCAGCTGCCAGGAGCATCACTGCGCTACCCTAGGACAGAGTATTTTGTGTCTTCTGCCTCTCATGCCTATTACAGAGCTGCAAGGAAAGAATCAAGCTTATTGTATAAAGCTGTTGGATCCTATCTGAAAAGCTAATGCACTGTGAATGTATTGGTGAGCAGGGAATCTAGCTGTGGGATATGCAATGATTTCCCTTCAATCCAGCATGGAAGTAAAGACTGCAGAGGATTCAGGGTCGACTTCATGAAGCCCATAGTTATTGGGGTAGAAGTATTTATGAGTTAAAGTGCATGTGTTTAGAAAATCAGGTAGTTTGCAGCTGTGGATACTACTAATCTATGCACTGGAAAAGTTCAGTGTTGTTAAAAGAGCTGCCGTTGGCATTTGTTTTTGCTGTATTTTATCACTTATCACTCTCAATCTAGAGCATATGCCTAACTCAGTGCACCACTATTTCTGATATGCACAGATAAGCATCCATAAAATAGATCTGAGATGGATGTTTTGTGGAGGTTTGAGCGGCAGTGGAAGGAAAGAGAAGCAATGCAGGAAGATGAGGGAGGCAGAGTGTTTTAGAGAAGTTGGTGCTGGTGAGATGTGATTTGGAGGGCGATGGGAACTCCTTCAAGCTCTAAGTTGTACACAGATGTAAGCATCTTGACTGAGAAGTACAAGCGTTTCATCCACAAAGCCTGCAGACAGAATGGCATGGGTGGTCAGGTCATTAAAGAAAGGAAAGGGCTAGCCTTTCCTTTCCTTTCCTTTTCTGCACTTTTCTAGTGCAGGGGGAGACAGGCTGGCTTCATTACATGGAGTGAAGGGAATTCTACCATCCTTTAATTGCAAGAAGACTGATGGCCACCATTGCTTGAACGAGATGATGGAATTAAACGAATTAAGGAAACCTTTGTGCTAACAATTGTTTTCTTTTGTTAAAAAGGTGAGTTCACTGAAGGCATAGTGTGTTCCAAGATAGGCTTCTGTCAGTCATTGTGTTTCTTATTTTCGTTGAAGATTAATGTGACGTGGAGTAAAAGGTTTCCTCCTGGGGGGAGGGAAGAATAAGAACTGCAACAGGGAATTTGGCTAAGGGCATGCAGCCGAAGTTTTTTTCCACTAAGGGGAGATTAGGCTGGAGTGGCATTGTAACAAATTTGGAAATGCAGGAAGAATGTTTGCAAATAGAAGCAAATAGACCTTGTGGTAGGGGCTTGTTACTCATGGCCCAGAAAAGCCTCAGCTTACTTCATGTATTGTATGAAGAACAAAATAGCTTAAAATGGGACTGGTTTTGGCTTTTTTGGGGGGAGGGAGGAGGCAAAGGGGGCATTTGTGACCCTTACATGAACTCAGTCTGTTCAAATTCTTTTAGTAGATGCCTTTCATAATAAATAATAATGAAATTAGTAACAAGTTCTTAGCATGATAACATTTCAAATGAAAATAATAAAAAACCCCCCTAACCAAATCAGACCATATAAGCTATGTCTGATGCTTCATTTAGATAGGGTTGCCCCCTGAATTGTGAAAATGCACAAACGCATACGCACTAATTAATTATGTGCTAGGCTAAGTCAAAACTCAAGTCACTAAAACCTTCCAAAAAATTGCATTGCTTCTAAAAAACAATGAAGAAAAAGATGTGTGATACTCGTAAGACTTTTGTTGTTACTGAGGTGGCTGCTTACCTAAAGGTCAAAAATATACTGGGTAGTTAAAAAAGGTAGCCAAAGTACTGCCTATTCTTTGGAAAAAGCATGAAAGAGACTCCAGGAAAGTATTTTTATTCTTGGGAAATAAATATATTTATGGAGAGGGAGGGGGGGGGGCAAAAAAAGGAAAATCTTGGTTCTTGGAGAATAAGCCTGACGTGATTAGCTCAGCTGTAGAGCTATGTGCGATATGCTTGTGGGGACTGGAGAAGATTTCACAGGAGCTTACTGAATTGCAGAGGCACACTTGAGAGAACTGTTTCTCAGAGGGAAGCAGGACTTTAAAAGAAATGCAGTTACTGCTGTGTCATGTGATCCTTGCATACAAGCAAACAAAAGAAACAAAATGTCTCCTTGCTTTCAGTCCTTGCCCTCCTAACAGTAGTGTATTCATGTTGATTTAAATAAAGAGGAAGTGTTTTGTTTTGGTTTGGTTTTTTCCAAGACTCATTAATTCCAGTAGCTGACCCACCACTGGAACTAGTGCATTCTGACATTCAATTAACTACACTTAAAAAAAAAATTCTATGCTTATGACTTGCTTTTCCTGAAAGTTTAGAGCTTATAGGGCATCTATTAACTGTTATTTCACTCTCCCATATAAGTTGATGAAGCTTAGTAGTTTGTAGTATTTCACTGGACCAGGAAGAGTTTATAGTAAACAATATTTGTTTCTAAAACAGAAGATGTTTATTAACCTGAGTAAGCATATATATATAATGCACTTGGGTTCAAATATATACAGGTACTCTGAGGAGTGTAATAATATGTTAAGTGGAGCTGTTTTTACTATTTTAGACACAGCATTGTTTACTGTGCATTAGTAATGTACTTCATATTGTGTACTTCAAGACAGTAATATGTTTCTTGCTTTTTCATTTAGCTTTGAAGCGTCTAGCATATTTGAACTAGGCAGTGATTAACGATTAAATGTTAATGTTTAGAATTCAATTTATATCCCAGTCTTTAGTTACGCTATTAACATTCGCATGGAGATAGCTTTACCCTTAGAAGGCTGCAACAACTTCTGTATGTATAAACTGCAAATTAAACGACTACATGTGCCAAGTAAAACAGTGGCATTTCTGTGGACTGTATGTCATAGCATAAGCTGAGGTTTACATTGCAGGAGTGTGGCTGTTACTTACTCAGATGCTCCATGATCTGTTTCCTACTGATCCTTAAAAGCTGATCAGGATGTCAGCTACTTCTGTTGGTGGAATCTGAAACCTGCATACATAGCCACTACGCAAAGGGGGACGCACTGGTCTCACGTTGTACATGTCCATGTTTGCAGTTTCCTGGACGGAAAAGTCCTGGATGAGAGTCCTTGCAGACATGTAGGTTCAGTGACTCCTTATAGTTGGTTTACCTGAGAACTCCTTCTAGTGTGACGTCCTGCACAGGCTATGCAGCTCTTGTTGGGAGTGTGTCCCTGGGAATGCTAGTTAACTTTCATTTTAAAAAGCACAGTGCAGTGGGTTCAAATGTTCCAATGTAGTAAGTATCTTTAGGAACCTGTATCTAATGTTGGCATCCAACCTTTGGATCTTGTTATGTCATTGCTTGTGAGATTGGAAAGCCCCCTCTCTGCCTCGTGGTCTCTTTTATATGTACAAATACCTGTATACAGCTGATGAAATTAACTCTCAAATTGAACCTTGAAAGCCAATTAACTTTCACTTTTACAATCACATGGCAGTGTGGGTTTTCCAGCTCCTAGTTCCTTTTGTGGCATTTCTTGGGAATGTTGTCAGTATTTGGGTTTTTTAAACCTTTAGACAGCAAAACTGGGTGCATTCTGACAGCTGCATTACCAGTGTTGTGCAGAAGCAAGATTATTTTTTGATATGATATTATTTTTATTATATTTCTGCTTTGAAGCTCCTTTCTTACTCTGTATGAGGAGTTAGAGCAGCCCTTTCCACTACAGTTTCACGTAGGACTTCATGGTAAAGTGTCACTTCCAAACCATCTCTTACCAATATATAGGACAGTAGCGTGTGGTGCTTTTTAGTCTTATTATCTGAACCATCCTGTCCTGTCATATATCATCTTGAAAGTTGTATTACAAACTGATTGTCTTGCTTCCTACTCCTTCTGCAGAACCGTTCTGCCAGTTGGGCTTGTAAGACTTGTCTGCAGTACCAGGCAGTTGGTGCACAAGGCAGATGTTAGAAATAGTGACAGTTGGCGACTGCTTCTGACCACATCCCTGTTTTGACCACAGCTATCTATGTCCAGGTCGGGCCTGGGCTGTAGGAAAATGGGAAGCTTAGCAGACAGGCTCCAGCACTGCAGCTTCTGGGTGAGCTGAAACTGCTTCTGCTAGGATTTGGCAGTCTGGACTTGAAGGCAATTTCAGAGCCTGTCGAGCTGTCCCCAGGGCCGTTGTGCTCATTATGTGTCAACTGTGAAATCTAATCAGAACAGTGGTTTGTTTTGGTTTGGTTTTAAATTGATAAGAATTTGTTGGTAGAGTAATTTAATTGTTTTGCCTAGGACATGCATTAGGCTGTCCTGTTGTTCAGTCAGAATTTCTCAAGGAAATTCAAAGCAAATGGAGCTCTGCTGCTCCACACACTGGATATTGCTGTGCTGTTAGATTCCTTAAGGCCGTTATCCTAGCTAAGGCCTATTCTTCCCTTCCAGGTTCTTGGTCCTTAGGAACTGCAGTTAGTATTACCTGCCTTTTCAAACAGGAAGCAGCTGGGGAAGATACCTGTTGTTTTTTCTATTCTTTATCAGTGTAGTTAATAAACCCTTGACTGCAAGGAATTGCAGCAGATTTGTTTTACATGCTTGCTGGAGGCACCTAAGGAATTACACATGCTGAAGGGAAAACTTAACAAACAAACCCCCAAATCTCATCAGCTGTTTCTTTGGATTGTGTTCTAATATAAGCTGCTCAAATAGCAGTGCAAACTTGTGTGCAAAAGAAGAGCATACCTGTGGAAACCACTTGGTTCTTGTCAATTTTTTTTTTTAAAATGGGACTTCAACAAAAAACTGAAGGAGTACTCTCAGCCCTTCTGTGAAGCTTGCACTTCCCTTAGTGTGTGAAAATATCTGAAGAAACTGAAAAATCTGTCAGCATTATGAGTTGCTGTATTATAATTAAACTTGGAAAAAATAGCGACAAAATCTCTCATGTGTACATTTTGCAGTTCTAGTGAACTAAGATGTTTCATGTGGTTGAAATACAAAAAATAATTATGCTCTTGGAAATGGCTGAGAATTCCAGGTCCTTCCAGTCAGAGAGGATGGTTATAACTACAGTCTATAACTAGAAAGACATTATTGATTCATGGATGAAATAAAAGGATACTAAAGGATCATAGTGTCCTTTAAGGAAGTATCAAATTTAATCTGAACCCAGGTTCTGTGATTGGCACTTATAATGTATTTTAACTTGTTAAAAATTTTCTTATTTAAATAGGAAACTGTTAATTGAGGGCTGTTTTATTTATAGTTCTGGTTATTGACTAGTTCCTTCAAAACCAAAATCTCAGGGTTCTGAAACATTTTGACTTGCTTAGGCACTAATCCATTTGTTACTTAAGGAATATTTTAGAAGGCTTTAGTCATTGTTGTCACTGACATAGATGCCTTCCTAATTTACGTTTATGTATATGGATGATGAGCATGAATAACCTTTTGATTTCAGGTTGATACTCATATCCATGCTGCTGCTTGCATGAACCAGAAACACTTATTGAGGTTTATTAAGCACACGTATCAAACAGAGCCCAACAGGATTGTTGCAGAGAAAAAAGGCAAGAAGATGACTTTAAAGCAAGTCTTCGAAAGCCTTCACATGGACCCTTATGACCTCACTGTAGACTCTTTAGATGTCCATGCAGTAAGTCTATTAAAGTGACAAAATAAACGAGAAAAAGCTAAGTTTTCTAAGTGTGAAATTCTGTTTTCTACAGTTTTTGCATGATAACTTATTAAATCAGAATTTGAACTCATGCATTACTTTGCATGTTTGAAGTAAGTTAGCATAGGCTTTTTCTTTTCTGTGCCTTTTATTGCTAGGCAAGTTAATTTATAAACTATTGTGTATACTTAAAACCATGGTTATTGTTATTTGGGTTTTTTCCTCCTCCAGGGTCGTCAAACATTTCATCGATTTGACAAATTCAATTCCAAGTACAATCCAGTTGGTGCCAGTGAGCTGAGGGACTTGTATTTGAAAACCGAGAACTACATTGGTGGTGAATATTTTGCTCGTATGGTCAAGGTAAATAAGTTTCAAGCTTTTCCAGCTGTAGAGAAATGATGGTTTGTAAAAGATTTGTGATGTCATAATTGTATCTTTATCAATATCAAAATGTATCATATAGAGTGAACACTATGATTAAGTGATTCCAAGTATTGGGCTTGCTCTAGCAATTCACCAGAGAAAGATCTCTGCTAAGTCAGCCACTGCTGCTTTCTAAATAATTTTATGAGTTAGAAACGTAAGCTGTGTATGAGTTCAGAGCAGAGTTGTGTGCAGTTTCAAACTAATGGAGAGCAGCCAAGGGTCAGTTCACTGGCTTAATATTTTGTTAGCATGTAGTTGGCTAGTGGTAGCTGCTAGGGAAGGAGGAGCTAGGGAAGTGCCTCTGCATAAATCTATATCTGCACATGCATGCACAGGCTTCAAATTAATTTCTTACAACAAAAGCATTAGTAGTTTTCATGAACTAGATGTCAGCTCTTCCTAGATGTATAGAAGTGCTTATCTAAAACTAATAGCCTTACAATTGCTTACTACCATGGATTCTGGGTCAGATTCTCCATTGGTCTGCATATTTTATGTTGTCATTTACTACAGTTTAAATAGTATAATTCTGATTTACCAATTTTAAACATCTGTCTTACAAAGGTGTTAGTAATAACTGCACAAGAATACTGTCCTCTAAATCTTGGTGTTACAGTTAGTTATACTCAAATGATATCTGAGATAGCTTACTAGTAGAATATTTAGATGCCTAAAATAAAATAATGGATTAATAGACAAGAGATTCCCTTTATCTTTAAAGGGTGACAATACAGTTATGTCTGGTCTGTGGAAAATACAATGATAAATATACTACTAGCTGTAAATGATCTTCAGTGTCCATACTAAAGCAATATATTTATTACTTAATAGGAAGTAGCCCGTGAACTAGAAGAAAGTAAGTACCAGTATACAGAGCCCCGCTTATCCATTTATGGACGGTCTCCAGATGAATGGCTGAACTTGGCAAAATGGTTCATTAAGCATAAAGTTTATTCCCCTAATATGCGCTGGATAATTCAGGTTCCCAGAATCTAGTAAGTAATCAGGAGCTCTTGGTAATTTCATTAGTTTGAAATCATACCAATGGTTTGGTTTAATTTCTGATATTTTTTAGATGGCTTATGAGCTGTCCTGTAGTTCTATTTATAAGCAACAGCCTGGGAAACTTATTCTTGACCATTCCTTCAGTTTTCCTGACAGTCTGGGGGTGGAAGACAGGAGATGGGGTTTGAATCTGTTCTTTATGAAGCTATTCAAAACTACTGTGAATTATTTGTAAGTCTGAAGATACTAAAACAAAAAATTACAACTGGGTGAAATTAATGCTGCATTCAAAGGCAAGTTAAAATACAATTCAGTAATGAAAATAAATCAACTCTTGAATTCCATAAAGGAGTAGAAAATGCTCTGTAAAACTGCTATCATCAAACTTCCTCAAGATCATAGAATCAGTGACTAAATGACAGTGAACTTTGGAAACGCAACCCAGATTGCTGATTTGCAAGCTTAAATAAATATCAGTTTTTCTTAGTTTTTAAGCATCCTCTGGGACTTTATTAAATGGTTCTTTGTTTCTAGTACTGTATATTGCAATACAGTCTCCAACAATAATTTTGTCAGCCTTAATAGCTGAGCTTCATGTTTTGAAATTGCATAGTTGGAATATGAGTAGAGAAAGAGCTGTCATGGTTGCATATATCCCGCAGAGTGTGTTTCTCATTAGCGAGAAAGTTTCTCTCCTTTAATTTCTTATGTAGCAATTTCTTATGTACATAGCGGAGTCAACACTTTCATTAAATCATGCACGTAATGACACACTGAAGTACTGTCCCTCTTTTCCGAGAGGCTCGCTAAAGCAGAACATTCTACTTTCATTGTGAGTAGTTACAACTTTGGAAAACAGCATCTTTCACAAGAGGTAATTCCTTATCTCTCCTATTAGTACTTGGATTGCTGTAAGGGAAAGGGTCGCTGTTTTGAGACAGCATCTACCTTTGCATACTGTCTCTATTTTTGGAGCACTTGGGAGCTTCAGCAGAGCCTGGATAAAGCAGGGTGCCGGCAGTGCAGGAAACAGAGCACAGAGACAATCTCTGCCCTGACATAAACTTTGAATTTCTGAATCCTGGTAGAACTGAAACTGTAGAATATACACAAATAACAGAAAATATGAAAGTTGAGGAAAAATATAAGCTGATTAAAGAATGGTCATGACTGTGTATATTTTTTCCCCTTCAGTGACATATTTAGGTCAAAAAATATTTTGCCTAGTTTTGGGAAGATGTTGGAGAACATCTTTGTACCTTTGTTTGAAGCAACTATCAATCCCAAAGACCACAAAGAATTGCATCTTTTCCTCAAATATGTAAGTATGTTTGGATTTTCTTTCTCACATGAAATGGATCCTCCTACTCATAAATTTTGTTTGTTCACAGCTGTTTCCAGACACTAAAAAAGCTTCCTCCTCCATAGATTACTTGTATTATTGTTTTAAAGCCCTGACATACAATTTAATAAAAGCCTGGGTAAGGTCCTGTTGTCAAATAGTTGCTGTTTATTTCCTCTGAAACAGCTCAACAGCTATTTATTTGTCCTCTCTGTAATCCTCTCTACAAAGAATGACCAAAAAACGTTTGCATGCTCTTGTGCAGAGGGAGCATCATAATCCAGGATGTGTACTTCGAGCTTGCCTCTGGGACTGGCCTCCAAGAAGGAGGCAACTGAAAGGAAGCATTGTGTAGATCCTGATGGGACTCAGGAGAGAGGTGGGGATGTAGCTGCTGGGACGTGACTAAAAGAGACATTTCTGAGTATGCCCCAAATCAGAACTGGGAGGTTTTCTGGGAGCCTCTGGCTTTCAGCTGCTTTTCAAATAACAAAACAGGTGAGTTTAAAGGATTATAATCTGGATCTGAGGGAGTCTTACAGGCCTGTGCCCCCCACAGGAGTCTGCGGGCTGTTGTGCACCTGGGCCTCCTATTTGTCTCAAGAAAAAAATGGGTGAAACTTCTTTTGAGAAAACACATTATTCCTG